CCACGAAATTTTTTTGCATTTTAGACGTCGGAATCCGGATCACCCAAAAAATTGTGTGCTATAGCACACGAAATTTTTTGAAATGAGGGGTATGCTCGCTTCAGGGCTCGTTTGACCTTCCAAATGGGTCAGACAAGCCGTGATGGCCAACCGTATGCATAGACAAGGTCTTGACGGACGTCCACGAAAACATTTGGCATTTTTTACGTCGGAATCCGGATCACCAAAAAAATGTTGTGCTATAGCACACGAAAATCGTTGAAATGAGGGGTATGCTCGCTTCAGGGCTCGTTTGACCTTCCAAATGGGTCGGACAAGTCGTGATGGCCAACCGTATGCATAGACAAGGTCTTAAAAGACACCCACAAAAAAATTTGGCATTTTTTACATCGGAATCCGGATAACCCAAAAAATGGTTTGCTATAGCATACGAAAATTGTCGAAATGAGTGGTATGCTCGCTTCAGGGCTCGTTTGACCTTCCAAATGGGTCGGACAAGTCGTGATGGCCAACCGTATGCATAAATAATGTTTTGACGGACGTCCACGATTTTTTTTTTTTTAGACGTAGGAATCCGGATCACCCAAAAAAATGGTGTGCTATAGCACACGAATATCGTCGAAATGAGGGGTATGCTCGCTTCGGGGCTCGTTTGACCTTCCAAATGGGTCGGACAAGCCGTGATGGCCAACCGTATGCATAGACAAGGTCTTAACGGACGCCCATGAAAAAATTTTGCATTTTTGACATCGGAATCCGAATAACCCAAAATATGGTGTACTATAGCATACGAAAATCGTCAAAATGAGAGGTATGCTCGCTTCGGGTCTCGTTTGAACTTCCAAATGGGTCGGACAAGCCATGATGGCCAAGCGTATGCATAAATAAGGTCTTGACGGACGTCCACGAAAAAATTTGGCATTTTTGACGTCGGAATCCGGATCACCCAAAAAATGGTGTGCTATGGCACACGAAAATCGTCGAAATGAAGGGTATGCTCGCTTAGGGGCTCATTTGACCTTACAAATGGATCGGACAAGCCGTGATGGCCAACCGTATGCATAGAAAAGGTCTTGACGGACGTCCACAAAAAAATTTGGCATTTTTTATGTCGGAATCCGGATAACCCAAAAAATGGTGTGCTATAGCACACAAAAATCATCGAAATGAGGGGTATGCTCGCTTCGGGGCTTGTTTGACCTTCCAAATAGGTCGTACATGCCGTGATGGCCAACCGTA